AATCAGAAACAGATTAGTGAATTGCTCTTTTATTGAATATTCTTCTACTCATTTCAGTAAAAATCCCTAGTTAACAACCTTTAGAGAGAATATTTTTATAAATTCTCAGCAGGCCTTACTACAGGTTAAATTTTTCATTGCAGGAAGAGATTAACTGAATTGAACAGTTAAGCTTCCAAGACAGTTCCAGATTTACTAAGATTACTGTTCCAAACTATTTTCATTTGCTTTTCCAGCCATTTATCCATATGAAGTTAAGTAACACTAGAGAAAGAACCCCAGAAAAGTATATCTAATTCACTATTCCTCTGGAGAATTAAAATGAAAGCATACGACATTCTTGTCACTAATAACAACTAGTACTGTATAAAGCCAGATGATAGACTAGTTTTTAAACTACAACTGGTCCCAGCAAGAAGTATTACAGACATCAACTAAACCAATTTTTCATTTCTAAGCAAAAAGGAAATACACATTAGACTTTAATAAATTGACACGTTATGTCCAAAGACTTACTCTACAGCAGAATTTGGACAAAAAGTTGTTCATGTGTCTAAAGGGAGATGTTTGCACTGGCACAAACTTGAAATAAAGGAAGAACAATCATACAGTTTTCCAGTATTTTTCTGTTTTCCTTTGCCAATTTTGCATATATTTGTATTTTGTACACTTAAGGAAGCAACAGAAAAAATCCAAATCAGCTAGATAGAGAAAAATATCTATTTTATTTCTAACACGTTAGATACCAGAAAGACTGTTTAAGCAAGAAGCAGAGAAGCCCGGATATCTGGGATGCTGAAAGAAGCCTGGCCTACCTGGTAAATTGTTTTTGCTTGGTCTGATATCATCTCATAAACCCATAACAGATAAAAGCTAATGCTAAAAAACCTTTGAATAGCTGTAAGTTGGAGCTTTCCAATACTCTAGAGAAACATTTTCTAATCTTGGAGGTTTGGAAGAAGTCAAATCTTAAAATTCCATTCTGATTATGTTTTATGCCCCACCTCCCAGCCCCCCATCCAAGTTCAGTTCTGATCTGATTGCAGTGATTACAAATCTCATTAATCAATCTCCTATGCCATATCTCTGGATACCTGAAAATCTGTTTTTAAAGTACATGAAACATTAATCTCTCTATATAGGAGTTCATGAGCAGAGTCACTGCTAAAATCAAGCAGGAATTGCCAAAGAGGTAGAAAGTAGGTTCAATAAACTGATTCTAAAGAGTGGGTATCATTGAACAAAGTATTTCCCCTTCCCAACTGTTCTTTTTGATTGAGTGAAAGTCATATGAAACTTTTCAGCAATTTCACAACACCCAAATGTTAACATTTGTACCCTGAATGTGATTCTCCCAAAGTCTGAAGCTATTTGAGTCTTAGGGTCGGTTTATAGTATAAGAATCAGATTGAGGGCAGCCAAAGAACTACTGATCAAAGCTTCATAACATTATGACTGCAAGCTTATCCTATAATGTTTTCTTTTAAATTTTAAATATGTGCTGTATTGATCCTCTTGCTGGCCCGCCTCTCAAGGAAGATTCCCCTTTTATTTTTTCCCCCTTTGAGATTTTGCTTACCATCTTCAGGCCACTTCAGGAGACCCAAAAACATGTCCCAGAGTGAGACTGGAGTTCAAGAATGGAATCCCCGGAATCAAGACGCTCTGGGACAAGTTTTGTCCATTTCTACCGCATGGGATCCACATGAGCCACATCCACCTATCTATCTTACTTATTTGGACCCCATCACTGTAGTATCTGAGCATCTACACTCTTTAATGTATTTAGCCTCACATCATCTCAGTCAGGTTTTCCACATTTTGCAGATGGTGAGCCAAGGCACAGAGAAACTAAGTGACTTGCCCAAGGCCACACAGGATGTTTGTGGTGGAGCAGGAATTGAATCTGCATCTCCCATAGCATTGGTTAGCACTCTAATCACTAGAACATCCTTTTTCTCTTCTCTCAAATGGGTTTGCTAGAGGCCCTTTCCTGAGATATTATAAGGGGACCCTTAGGAGGCCTGATATAGAGGTGACAGGACTGGGGATGGGACTAAGAGTAAAGGCCCCTTACTAAACATTCTGGCATCCATGTTGTGCTCAAAGCCCAAGAGCACCACAATCAGGAGTGGTGGTTGCAGGTGTGAGTTCTAGACACTTCTAGCGTACTGATGTTCTGGCACTGCTCTCCTGAGAAAGGGGAGGAAGGAGGCACTTGCCTTTGGAGTGGGCTGTTACAGTCCTGCCTGGCTCCTCTTCTGTCTGGGGTAGGGGAAATTACATACCACTGCCCACACTGGGCTTCTAGGATGGTGCCTGCATCTCATCCATCCAAGTCAATCCTGCCTGGTTTTGCTTCTGCTTAGAGAAAGAAGGCCAAGGTGACCCCTGCCTTGACAAGATTGTTGAGAGGGAAAAATGTATCCTACCCCCAGAGGAGGTGAAACTCCCCACTGTGACACTAAGTAAGAAGGGATGAAGTGAAAGAATAAACCTCTCTTTTTTGGCCTAGTTTTCTCCCTAAGCAACTGAAGGGATATCAGCTGCTTCAGTATTTCACAAAAGGAAGCAGAGCTGACAACTTATAAGGCCAACAAACCTGAGACACAGCTGACATTTAGAAGTTTAAATTATAGAACCAAATTGCTAATTCAGAATTACAGTTTTTTTAAAAATTTCCTCAGAAAACCTCTTCAGTGCAAAGGTCTGGTTAACTCTGTCTGCTGCTGTTGAAGCAGAACAAAACTAGTGGGAGCTGCAGGGGGCTAAGCATTCCCTTGTTACCAGTGCCTGACAAGACTGATTCTTTACCCCCACATAAGATACAGAGGCTGAAGTACCTATCATGACAGATATGTGGATGTTAGCACAATAAAGGATTTTTAATCCCCACGTCCAAGAGGATTTAAAATAGCCCAAAGAAGTAAAGGAGAAAATAGCAGATTTAGAGCTTGGGGGGGATTATCAAGTCTAGTCAACTGTAGTGAGCCACTGGAGCTCATCTTGATGTAGATAAAGAAATAACCGATGTCTGCAACACAATGCATATTAAGTTGGATGAACTCATGTGACCTGCCTGATGTTTCTGGGAGAGGGAAACAGTCAGACAAGCATTTCTTTAACATTTGTATAATTACTGAAGTTTTATATAATTAACATTCAACTACAAAAATATCAAAAATACACTGGTAGGCACTAACCCTGCTTAAAGCTGCTCTTTAAAATCAAATAATTCCAAAAAACTGGTGAAAATATTTGATCATAGCCATAAAAACTATATCCATTAAGCAAATACATAAATCAATCAGTAAAGATTTCTTAGAAACATAGGAAGGCAAATTATTCATGATAAATCTCTATAAATCACCCATTTTATTTTTTTATATTTTGTAGCACCAATTTAATAACCTAGTCACTTCAGTGTAATCAAAGTGATAATATATGCAATAGAAATCAGATTCCACAACACCTAAAACAGATTCCAGAAGTTATGCTTACCTCTGCAGTTAGTGACTGATGACTTTTCATTATTAAATTTATAGTCAAATGTTTAGTTCTTGGAAAGCACTTCCAGGAGTAACAGTCTCTAACTGCTTCTCCATGAGCCAACCATTAAATCTACACAACATCTCCAAGAAAACTGATACTCTTGTAAAATCTTAGGAGCACTTGAGAGGTTTAACAGGAATTTTTCTTCTAAAGTAGAAAAGTTATTTCTTACTATATCAGAGATGGGCAAACTACGGCCCACGGGACCGTTCTGCCCGGCCACTGAGCTCCTGGCCCGAGAAGCTAGCCCCCGGCCCCTCCCCTGCTGTCCCCCCTCCCCCGCAGCCTCAGCTCACTGCACCACTGGCACAAAGCTCTGGGGGGTGAGCTCCTTGGGCAGCACAGCTGCAGAGCCCGGTCTGACCCGGCGCTCTGTGCTGAATGGTGCGTGGCTGGCTCCAGACGGGCGGCACAGCTACCTGTCATGGTGCAGCCGCGCCGCCAGCCGCCGGTGCTCCAGGCAGCGCAGTAAGGGGGCAGGGAGGTTGGATAGAGGGCAGGGGATTTCGGGGGGAGGTCAGGGGCTGGGGGTGTGGATGGGGGTGGGAGCGGTCAGAGGGCAGGGAATAGGAGGATTGAATGGGGGCGGGGGTTCCGGGGGTAGTCAGGGAGAAGGGGTGGTTGGATGGGGCAGGGGTCCCGGGGGGGGCAATCAGAAAGGAGAGGAGGGGTTGGATGGGGCGGTGGGGGGCAGTCAGGGGCAGGGGTTCCGGGGATGGTCATGGGACAGGGAGAAGGGATGGTTGGATAGGGTAAGGATCCCGGGGGGGGGG